TATATATATATATATAAAACTGACCTATTTTGTTGGTTGTTCATTAACAACCGAGCATGTGTGTGATTTAAATTCAAAACAATAGAAGGGGAAGAACCAATGGACCCAATTTAATCACATACATCTCGGTCAATAATCCGACAGGTGGATGGGGTGTAACACCACACTACTTATTCGTTATTAAATAAATATAATGTAATTATCACTCCATTGGCTTTTTTTCCATCAAAAACTTTTTTTTTTTTAAGTGTTGTTTTGTCCCAACACAACCAAAGGAAGTACTAAATTTTTTTCATTACTGGAAAATAGTTTACAACCAAAGAACATTGTGGAAGTGCTGTAAATGTCTCTGTTACTCATTTGCCATGCCGAGTTCTGGCTTAACCTTTTGTCTCATATTTCAGTGGTGGGTTCGCAGATGAGGGAAGGGAGGGAAGTCCTCTCCAAAATATTCTTCTAAATCTAACGAATAATATTTTTACGTTGCAGGAAAAAGTATACTGTTTTAGCAGATAGCTATGAGGAAAGTTTTCAACCTTGTGAGCATTTAATTAAAGCAAAAACTATCGAAATTGCTAAAGGGAAACTGACACGATTTCCTCCTGTCTCGTGTTAATTGTGCATATCTCATAGCATTCCAGTGGCAACAAGAGTACATTTCTTTAATGGTACCCATTGGCCAAAGGGAGGAGTTCATCCCTTAATTACACTGCAATGGGGTGATTGCTGCTTTACCTAAATCAATAGGTCCCAAGCTGTTGTAAAGCGATGCGTCAAGGGCAGAGTAAAGCACATGATGTAACCTTAAAATGTCGGATGGCGAAAGCCTGGGTGAAGAGATAAATTGAGCCTACAGGACTTTCTCTGCGATTGAAAGTCGACAAACAATACATGTAACCTACTTTGCCATTCAATTCATTAATTTAATTTGAAGTAATTATGATATCAACTTCATTCCTCCTGGTATGAAACATGTAGTTGGAAACGTTACTTCTAGATTTGCCTTTTTTGGAATAGTTTGTTACTTTATGACAAATTATTACATGTAAAATTGTCATCTTCATTAACTACTTACTAGATCAGACTGGCCTCTCATACTCTGACTTTGATCTTCTTCACCTCAGAAAGCAGGAGCGAGCATGCATGTGTAAATTAGTGTTATTAAATTATGTTCTATCATTAAAGTATTAATCCTTATACTGTTCACAATAGTTTGCTTGTTTTATGACAACACAATGATATAGACTGTTTATGCCAGGAATGTAACAAATTTGTTAAAAAAACTGTGAGAGAAAACATACTTAAATTCATTTAAAGATTTTTAAATAAGAAACAAAGTATCAGAGTGCTCACTTGCCACCTGTGAGAGCAAAAATAAATTATTTTCAGGTCGCATTTAGCAGAACAGTACAGCATTGTTAATTGTTGAACAAATCTCTCCTTGACAGCAATATACCAATGACCTTCAGATTTCACTGTTGTCTAATGAACAGAGATAAGCATCTCTTACACTGATGATTAAGTATGTCTTACATTCAAGAACAGTTACAAAAAAACAATTTATTGTACTTTGGTAAAGTTGTCATAACTATCAATGAAGTTCAATAATATCCCTTCTGCATGTCATCCAAATATTCATAAATGTTCATGTAGTTTGGTTGACTGCTGCCCACAAAACCATACCTGAAATCAAGATAAACACACATTACATCAGGGATAGAAACACTTTGATGTGGTGAAACTAATTTTTCTTAACCCTTTACAAAAATGTAGTAATTAAAATCACATTCACTTCTTTGAGTTGGATAAATCGCACATTTTGCATATACAAGGTAAAACACTAATAGAAAATGGTTTATTCTCATCTTGTGCAACAGATTAACAATATTTTTTACAGTATTTCATGATGAGCAGCATAGGCAAATAAACGTTTTCAAGTTAAAAATCCAATCCAAAACTGATGGCCTTGATAAACATAACTCAAAACAAATTTCAGAATTTTTTAATTCAAGTTTCAGGTTTCAAACACATTTCAGAAGAAACATTTTTTTTCTCCTCTAATATACATTTAACAAAAGGAGTAAATTATAAAGAATTCATCGTCCATAACCATCAAAAACACAATTTGTATTTAAAAGATGAAGTCATTTATCACACAATGTAATTTCAAGATTAAACATGCAAATCAAATGTTTTTATTTCCTTTATTAAAATATAAATGTTCTATAAAAATAAGTAAACTGTTGCAAGAATACAGACCACTTCAAAAATACTCAACTTGCTAGTTATAAACAATTATTTACACTTATACACAAATGTCCAAAGTATGAAAAATTGTATTTGCAATGTTTAACTTTAACTGTACTCACCTGACCAAATTAAAGTAATTCAAGAGCAAACATTTTTCCTTGTGTAAATAAATCAACATTAAGTGAAAATATTTATTTTAAAAAGGAACAGAATAATAATTAGAAGAAGAAAAGAATAAAAGAAAATGTCATAACTTAAAGAAATGTGTACATTTCATTGAGTCAAAAAAAAAACTAGAGCAAGAAAATGTTTCCACTCACTCAAGGTATCTACAGAACATTAGCTAAACGCTAACATTAAACGTAATTAGTTTATTCATTTGTTTAGGAGGGTCAGTAAAATACCGGACAATGAAATTGTGGGAACCTAAGAAATATTATTTCAGTCTCTTATATGCACAATCTTTATATTAATTGAATGTAAACTTAAGGTTTCTTTGCAACTGACAGCGTGATTTCTAGCATCAGATTATGTGAAAAACGCTACCACTTCATTCATGTAGGAAATTATCTGAATAATAGAATAACATACGATAAAAGTATTAATAATAAACCAGATGAATTTAATTCCTTATATTTGATTTTTCATACCATATTATAATACATATTTTAATGTGAGTAACATGATATTAAATTGCTGATATTAAAATTTTTTGTGACTTCTGTGAGGAAGCAAAAGTTTATTATCTGAATAAAAAAAGGGAAAATTAGTCAAAAACATCTCTCGAGCAAACCAAACATTTTCAATCTGAATCCTTTTATCTTATCAGCAGGAACAAAAACATTTATTATTCTTTAGATAGTAGAGACAGAAATAATATCTGTGAGAAAAAAAAATGCATTAAGTCAAGTTTAAGTTGTGAAAGGATGATGCTAAATTGAAATAAAATTTTCCTTAAAACCAAATAACTATAGAAATATAATTAACAACACTGAACACAAACTCGAGAAGAACAATACAAGAGGAAAAGGTAAAGAATTTGAGTAATTCCATTTCCTCTTTAATGAACAAATTTCATTTTTTGTTGTTCAATAATTTTAATAATACATTATACTGAATACTTCCAATGTCCGCAAAATATTGAACGAATTCATTGGCAGTCTCGATACACTTGACTTTTCTGCCAATAACAAACAAAGGAACATTTGAAATGACTTCTCTAGAATCATTCCAACAAATGTCATCTCAATGTCAAAAGTTAATGTGTACATATGACATGAATGTACTCATATGACACTTCTCACATTTCCAAGAGTGTGTAATTACACTTGGTCCAAAATTCAAACTGGTGTTCAAAATTGAAAAGGGTTAATCATCATCAAAACCAAACCATGAAGATGCAACTTATAGCACTTTAGTACAACATCTAAAGAGATTACATACCAACTGCAATCCTTTGGATCTCATTCATTGGGCATGAAGTCAAGTCTTGTCAACATGATCAAATGCTTGATGATAAAAGTCAACAAGGCAACTGGAGTATTTGATTTCTTTATGAGAAAGCATGATCATGTCAACAGCTTCCTGCAAAAAAAACCTCCAAATTAGTATTAATTCACTTATATCTTCAAGAATCAAAATAACATTGTCTACTTCTGTTACAGCCCCAGGAAGAAGAAACAAAACAGATCAAAGAAACTACATGGTCAGTCGCATAACACAATGACCAGGCTCAGATATAATATTTGTTAAATTCATTCTGATAATAAAGATTCCTGATATATGACAATTAATGTAAAATTTTTTCCTGTACTTCATAGTAAATAAGAATATTTAAATCATGCTCAAGCCATACTAAATTCCAAAATTATAAACTTTTATCTTTTATCTCATTCATTTGTCAGTACTTATTACAGGAATTAAATTAGTTTTCTGAGATTTAATCTTCAAGTACATTTGGTGAATTGAATAGTTTTGTCTAAAAACAGTATTTCCAATACTTTAAACAATGTCATACTAGTACAAATGCAGTTATGTAACCAACACTACCTCATGACAATTCCAAATAATTCAACATAACATTCACAATTATGTTTTCTACAGATATAACATTATGTTTTGTAACAATTACCACACTAACAACATTATTCAGATTTGGTGTCAAGATATTGCAGCAATAAAAAGCGCACCTCCCTGTCATATAAGCTGGTACTCCAGTTTCGGCAAAATTTTGACGAAATTTCTCAAACACTACAAAGAATGGTAGCGCTCCAACATTCTTATACCAAAAATCTATGCATTTTTTTAAAATAAATCTTAAACTTCAATCACAAATCCGTAATGTACTTGGCTAAAATTTCAACCCGATATCTCACGAGAAAACTAACATCACTCAGTAATACACTGACAGTATTAATTAAAGATTTAAGCGAAATATAAAACTAAATGATTACCAACAATTGAGTACTACGACTACTACTTACAAATATTCCCGTAATCAGTAACATTAAAACCTCATAAACAAAACATATCACAATGTATCACAATAAAAATAGCCGATGCTAGATCAGTAACTGTCATGGAGTAAAAAGATAATGAAGTAACTTCATACTACAATCTCACCACTAGGATCGCACCTTACGAATTAATTTTGCCCCATTTTTACTTTCCTGTATACATACGTGTACTCCGTATTTATACGGAGTAATATGCGGCAGTAGTATACGGAAAGTTATGTAATGCTACGGAAAATCGATTTCGATATTTCAACTAAAATACAGGTTTTGCGGTCCCCTGATACCGAAAAAAGTATTGTGTGTTTGTGCGTCTGTCTGCTCGTTTGTGAACACCAAATAGCGCTTAAACCACACGTAGATTTTTTTCCAAAAATGATATTCCCAGGTCGAACTGGCTCAACTCGAGGCGCTGCGGTTTTGAAAAACTTTCTACAAAATTTGGGGGTACTGTACAAGAAGACATTTTCAAAATTTTCTCAAAAACGGCTTCAATTTTTTCTTTAAATTTTTTGTAAAAATATAATATAATTTATAAATACATGTAGCATAGGTTTGATTTCCAGAGTTGACTAAAGTTTCGAAAATTTTCAGGTGTCTTCCGACAACTACAAAAATAAAGATAGAGATTTTTCCTTCAATAAAATTTGATCTGTATAGTGGGTTCTTTTATTAAGGTCATACACATTTTTTAAAATATTTTAGTAGTTTTCGCGCGATATTGCGTGCAATATTTGCAATTTTTAAAAATTAGAAAATCAAGATTTTCTCAAAAAGGGCTCCAATTTTTTCTTTAAACTTTTGCTGGGAATAGTGCTGGGAATATACTCTATGAGATGACATAAACATCTGTTTGCTCAATTCTGTTTTTTTCAAAAATTACAAAAATATAGTTTTTTAACTTGTCTCCCACGTCGTTAATATTTACCAAGACGGCGATTTGTTCATATTATTGTATTTATGAGTACATGTGCTTTAACTAATGCCATAAAGTTTTTCAAATTTTCAATCGTTTTCTGTGAAAACTAGCTCAAAATTCCACATTTTCAGAAACGCTCAAACGCCATTTTCTCTAAAACGGCTCCAAATTCTTTCTTCAAACTTATCAAACGAGTAGTACAAATTGCACCCTTTCATGTGATGTAAAGTACAGTTTTGGATATTTTCATTGTTTTTTCAAAAAAAAAACACGAATACATTTTTTTGGTGAAATATCACTCACACTGTTAATATATACGTTTACAGCAATTTGTATTTGCGAGTTAAAGTGCTTTAAATGACTTTTAAAGAAGTTTTTCGAGAACACAAAAATTTTCTTTGATAAAAAAGCTTCAAATTTCGAATTTACAGTTGCTCTTAAATGTCATTTTCTTAAAAACGGATCGAAATTTTTCAAAGAAAGTTTCCATTTAGGACGAGGTTTTACTATTCTTTAATATTCTTAAAATAATATTTCCGTTCTACAATAAGGGAAATATTTAAAAATAATAGTTTGTGCTTCGATAGACAGCAGCTGGCAAGAGAATGTAGCAAGTGCGAATAGTAGCCGAGACCAATTAAATAGAATACTAATATGGGAAAGTCTGCGCCGTTCGGTAGCACCACTAGTTACTTTCGCATCTAGTACAAACCTGAAAAAATATTGTAATGCTGCAAAGGCAAGTAGCGATTTTCCCACATAAACACTCGTATTGTAGATTACTGGTACTAAAAATGTATTTTTATTCCGCCCGTAATGAAATATTCTTAATATGCTATGTATTCAAAATCCACGTTTTGTGCATCCTTGTTCCCAGGTGCGGATCCAGCCGATCATCTTGGAGGGGGCCATGATAGTTTTTTGTTAAATAATAAACATTTATTATATACTGTATGTCACTATACAATATTATTTTTTAAATATTTATATAATTATAACATAAATATTTAAATCAATTTTACCATGTAAAGGAAGATAAACGAAAACTCTAGGCATTTGGGAGTCATGCCCCTGTGCTCCCTGGATCCGCCACTTGCTTGTTACCGAATTGTTTTTTACAGTAAAACACCTGTTTGCCGATCTGTCTCAAGCGGATTAAATGAAAAGAGCTCCCTTGGTCCATCTGTGGTAACAGTTACGCGTGAACCGATCAGACGATTTTCTTCAAAATTGATATTCCCCCGTCGATCTGACCGAACGTAAGGCCCTGCGAATTTGGAGCAGACATTTTGATTTTTTTGGGTATTTATATGAAGCCTCAACAACATTTTCAAACTTTTCTCACAAATGGCCCCAAATTTTTGGATTATTTTTTTCTTGGATAGAGCACAGTGCGATTGTAAAATTGTCATATACTGGTATTTGTAAAAATTGCAACGCCAAGGAGACACACTATTGCAATTGAATTTATTCCATAGATTAGGAATATCACAATATACAAATTATTAGAATCACAGAACGGCATTTGCATTTTGACCACGAATATTTAGTATTGTGTTAGTAGTGAAGCCACCATGCGCTGCCATCAGAGACACTAGACGTCATGGCATGGATTCAAAAAGAGCCTGGATATGCTGATGGGGAACACATATCCACGCTGTTTCTATGCGTGGCAACAAAGCATCAAACTGCATGCTGCAAGAGGACCAGAACGAACAAGTTGTCGACCAATCATATCCCAACCTTGTTCGATGGGCGACATGTCATACGAACGAGCAGGCCGGGGAAGCAGTTGTACTCGTCGTTCTTCGCAGAAATCTTGCACATTCCTCGCCTCTATTCTTCATGTCTTCCGGGCTGATGGGCCGTGGTCCAATTGGCTTTGAGATGCCAAACATGCCCGGAAGACATGAAGAATATTGACTCCGACCGTGAAAGCCTACAATGCTGTATATTCCTCGCCACGTTCGGTCAGACATTGTCCAGCTGAAATATGTCGCGTGAAGCTGCTTGCAGGAGGAGCCGTACCTCGGACACTGAAACCTTCCTGTTCTAGTGCGGTTCAGATTGCAATCATCAGGTATGAGGCGTGATCGCTCATTGTAGCCAATGCATCCCAAAGCATCACATTTGTCGTTTGTTCACTTCGGCGCGGAACAATGCAGGCTGGCAGATTACGATAACCACGGAAGTGTCGAACACTTACGCGGCCATCATTTAGCACAAATTGAAGCGGGACTCTTCCGAAAACACTACATTTTGCCGCTTAGCACACCAGTGAACAAAGCAACGAGCACATTGCTGTCTGAGGCGTTGGTGGTTTCTGGTCAAGGGAATCCGACGCAGTTGTATGAGTGCCACCAGTCCAGCCCTCAGTAGATGACGTCGCAGGCATGACCACACACGTTGCAGTGCTCTTCAGACTAGCTAATACTGTGGACGACGCGGTTCTGTCGGTTACGGCCATGCGGACAAGATGGCGGTCATCTCGTGCTGTGGTCACATTGTGTGGTCTAGTACCAGCTCGTCGCGTCGCGTTGTACGACCCTCCTCTATCTGTTGGTTCTACACGCGCATCACTGTCGTAGCAATGTGTTCCGTTCGTGTTTCAATACCACGGTTCGGCAAACACGCTTTTTGGAGACCGATCATTTTGCCCCATTCGAACTCTCCCAGAAGCTGATATTGCGCCATTTGGCGTCGACAAGGCAAACCGGCACTTGCTTGCACGTTTCCATGAAATTTGACGGGTCTGGGCTCTACATCGATTGAGTGTGGCGTAACACTGACCTGTCACAGAAAGGAGGGCGATGCTAGGCGAACGTGCACTCCATCTCTATGCAAATTTAATCACTTCTTATAGATACATTGTTCCCCACGTCCGCCGTTTTTTAGTGATTCCTACCATTCCTTCTGGGTGTTGCGATTTTCAAAAACACCGGTGAATTTTCGGTAAACTCAGTGTTTTCGAAAATTACTAAAAGGTAAAATAATTCGGCGTTATCCTACAACAATATTGAACTTGAAGATTTTTCCATGATAAATTCTGTTCCTCAAAAATTTATTTAACTGTTATACATTGTTAAAACATTTTTTTACCTGAAACTGCTAATACTTTATATAGTTTTAGTTTTATTTCTCCAATTGTCCAGAACTTCATAATAGTTATCTGTTAAATTCTTCTCTTTCAAAAGTCCATCAAAAGTTCTTCAAAGATAATTTTTAAATAAGCTCATGTACTATTTTTTTCTAAAATACGAGTAGTTTTTGTATGAATTTGTGTGAATTAGACAATTTTAAAAAGAAGAGATTCTCAAAACTGATCCCAATTTGTCTTTATTTTTTCTGATAAAGCAAAGTACGCGTTTGAATCTCCAATTCATTGATTTTGTGACTCGTGTTTAGCGGATATTGTAATGCCCCGAGCGCGCGTTAGCAGGCAGGGAGCTGCTTGACTTTGCGTAGTGGACTGTTACATTCAAAATGTCCGTTAAATACGATTCGCAAAAAACAACAAATTTCTCAAAAAATGTTTATCTAACATATGACAATGTTTATATCACTGATTAGTATTTTTACGCTCTTCATTGTTGATTACAAAATATGAGCAATTCCATTTGAAAACAATAACAAAGTTATCTCAATGTGTTGTAAAATACAAGTGATAAAATGCATGTGTCAACTAGACTCTTTCCCTCTTGCACTGCCGTGAAAACTGCATTGCAATAACTTCAATCCATGAAAAATTACAAGAGATCATATAGTTACGTGTCTCACCTGTATAAGAAAGATGGCACTATGTAACAAGAAATTGTTTGTTACTTTTTTATGTTTATTGTTCAAAATGAACATTCTGAACATGAATATACCATTTTTTCAAATACTCTTCGATATTTAATCGATAGTTGGATAATTCGATTTTCTTTCGTTTTTTGATACAATTGAGGCAATCATCATAGTTTATGCAGATTACGAGAAGATGGTAAGGATGTGAAGTTCAACTATTAGTAGAAAGGTAGAAGGTGTCTATATATAGACTCATTTAACAAGTCATCA